ACTGAGCCATCTCACCAGCCCCTTTGTCTTATTTTTGAGACAGGGTCTCACTATGTAGTTCAGGATATCCTCAGATTCACTAGGTAAACCAAGCTTGCCTTGAACTCATGGCCATCCTCTGTTATGGTTTGTGACTAGGTGTCCCCCAAAGCTTCGTGCAGTCATAGGAGGGACTTTTTCAGACGTGGCTGGATCTAGGGTGTATGATGGTGGAATTGATTCAGGCGCAGTGCTAGGATCAAGGGCACTAGGATTAAGGGTGCTAGGATTAAAGACAGGTGATTACCAAATCAATTCACTCACTGGATTGGCACTAATCTAATCCCAGTAGGCTGGATATAGTACAAGGAATAGAAAGAGGCATGGTGGTGCATGCACATGATCCCAGTATTCTGGGAGGCTGAGGCAGAAAGGTCACAAATTCCAGCCCAGCCTGAACAACTGATCAACTTCATTAAGGCCCTGTTTCAAAATAAAAAATAACAATGGCTGGGAATGTAACTCAGTGTGAAGGCCCTAGGTTTAATCCCCAGTAACACACACACACACACACACACACACACACACACACACGTACAGGCACAGTGAAAAACAGTACGGCAGTTCCTCAAAAAATTAAAAATAGAATTGCCATATGATAGAGCAATTCCTCTTCTGGTCATATAAACAAAAGAACTGAAAGAGAGGACTCAGATGCATACTGGGATATTCGTGACCATAGCTGTGTATTGCACAACACCCAAAGGCAGAAGGGGCCCAGCTGCCCACAGACAGAAGCGGACAAATGAAATATGGTGTTTTTATACGATAGAATATTCAGCAGTCTCAAAGGAAGGAAGTCTTGGTGCACACTGTGTGAATGAACCTTGAAGAATTATGCTAGCTGAAATAAGCCAGACACAAAAGGACAAATCCTATATGATCCTGGTTATCCAAAGGACCCTAGAGTGGTCAAACACACAGAGGCAAAAAAGTAAAATGGGGGTGGGGGAGGGGGTTGCTAATTAAAGGACACAGTTTCAGCTCCATAAGAGATAAACTCCTGCAGATGGATGGGGGTGGTAGCCAAAGAGCCGTGTGAATGTACGCTACTTAGCGACACAGAACTGTATTCCAAAAATGGTGAAAACAGGGCCCAGGGGGATAGCTCAGTAGAATAAGTGCTTGCCTGGCAAGTGCAAGGTCCTGAGTTCAATCCCTGAAACCACAAAAAAAAAAAAAAAAAAAAAGAAGAAGAAGAAGAAGAATTCTATTGAGCCATCTCCCCGGCCCCAGTAAATTTTATATTGTGCACATTTTCCATAATTTTAAAATCAGGGGTGTTGAGAAAGGTTTGCCTTGAACTCTCTGCATACCCCTAGCTGACCTGGAACTTGCTGTGATCCTCCTGCCTCAGCCTCTGAAGTGCTGAGATTACAGGTGCCACCAGACCTGGCAATGAAAGATTTTTAAAAGAAAAAGCTCCCTAACAAAATGGAATTCCTTCAAGCTGCTAGTGACTGGCTAATCTAAGTGATCAGGACAGAAGGGACAGCAGGTGTTGGTCTGCGTGGGAACATTTCCTCGGGTGAAATGTTAGGACTGTCTTTCTTCCTGTACAAAGCCATCAATATCAGGCTGCTGTTTGACATGATGAGTGTGTCTTGGGTCAAGGGCATGCAAATCAAAGAAAACCATGGGTAGGTTACTACAGGCCAGCCTGAAGGAGGTGAGGGATCATTTAAATGTTCTTCATGGCCAGGTGTGGCAGTGCATGCCTCTAATCCCAGCACTCAGGAGGCAGAAGCAGGAGAACAGCTTCGAGTTCGAGCCCAGCCTGGGCTACACACTGAACTCAAAGTCAGCCTGCACTTCTGAGAAGGAGACAACAAGAAAGCCACCCCGACTCCTGGAGCACAGTGGAAATCCACATCTGCCCTCAAACCCCAGCTTTGGCTCTGCCCAGAGCAAGAAAGACAAGCGCAGCCCCCCCCCCCCTGCACAGCCCAGAGGCTGAAGGTCCAGCACATCCAATAGGAGGATACTGCAACCATTATACCCTGCTCTTCCTGAGAGAAAGTGACAAGGATGAGAAATGGATGGAGCAACCAAGGTCATTTCTCTTCTCCTTTCTGCAAACTTGCACGCAGCCAGCGAATGGTGCTTTGTTCTTTTTGATTGCCAAGTATTAAAGAGTGATAGGTACGGTTCAGTTCTGGGGGTAGGCTGGAGAGATTGGAATGTGAAGTGAGCCCAGAAACCACCCACAAAAAGAACTCTGGGGATCCCGCAACAGACTGCTGGTGTGGGGTGAGACTTGCGTCCCAGAGGCATTCAAGGAGAGACTAGGGAAGGCTTCTCTGGTGGTGGTCAGGGAAGTGCTCGAATTTAGGTCAGCTAAAGCCTAGTCTTTCCTAGTAGAGGGTCAGGAGATAACGTCTCAGCAGTTTTATCAGAAAAGCAAAGGCAACCACGCAGGTTTGTCCTTTTAGAGCTAAGGAGGCCGCCAGCAGAACAGGAGTCAAGAAAGCAGGACAAGAAGCTGGAAGGCAGGGGCACAGGCCACTGCTCAGGGCCTTACGTCTCCCTGTACTTTTAGCCATGGGCATGCTAAACATTTTTTAAAGTTAGCTAAGCGTACTGGGCACACATCTATAATCCCAGCACTATAGGAGGTTTGAAAGTTCAAACCCAGCCAGGTCAACTTAGCAATTTAGAAGACTCTGTCTCAAAATAAACAATTAAAAAAGGGTTGGGGATGCAGCTGAGTGAAAAGCCCCTGGGTTTAATTTCTAGTTACACATACACACACACACACACACACACACACACACACACACACACACACACCAGCTATTAAAAAAACAAACAAACTTCCTGGCCAGGTATAGTGGCACACATCTGTTATCTCAGCACTTGGGAGGCTGAGACAGGAGGATTGCCAGGAGTTTGCGATCAGACTGGGTTACATCGTTTTAGTTAAGGGCCAGCCTGAACTACACAGCAAGACCCTGTCTCAAAAACAAAGCAAAACAAAAAACTCCTCTGGGTTAAAAGAAACTTACTCATGTAGTTGTTAAATAATTTCTAAAAACATTTGATGACATGAAAAATGTTTACAATATAATAGACACACAAATATCACTGGCTTTCCCTAGGTATAAAAATGTTGGTGATAAATACTACCTTCTTCCGTATTTTCTTGGAATTTGTGGTTTTATCACAAACACCCTAATTGTAGGAATCCCCCAAGCAAAGGTTACAATACCTTTATCATCTCAAGAGCATCAGGGGGGCTGGAGAGATGGCTCAGTGGTCTAAAGCACCTAACTGGAACAAGCTTGGCAATGCACAGGGACCGCAGTTCAATCCCCCAGCACCACATGCCAGCCAGCCCCGCCCCCTGGTGGGCTGAGCTGGCCACACACACACACACACACACACACACACACACAAATAAATAAATGTTCAAGAGCATCAGGCCGTGCTGTAGATTCAATGTGCTCCTCCCATCTGACTGCTGCTCCATTCCCATCCCTCCCCTGCTGCCCAAAGCCCTGTGTGTGAGGCCTCCCCAGCCCCTCTAGCCTGGTGGCCGCAGCTGTGCTGGCAACAGCCCACTCTCACAGATGAGCTGCTACCTGACTTATTTGCAGAAGTTCAAGCTTCTAAAACACGTCTCAAGTAAGGGGCTGCTGTTTCAGGCACTGGTTTGGAGTACTGAGGCACTGATGAAGCCGAGACCCCCACCACCACCCTGGCACCCACTCAAGTACCTGACCAGGGGGTTCCTCTGGCCTCGGGGCTCCACTCACTCCAGGAGCCGATCCCGAACTCCTCCCGGGCTCGTAGCTGCACCACATGCCTGTGGCCACGCCAGGCATCCGTGATGATGCGCTGGTACTGTGAGTCTTCGATCTGAGGATGGAGACACAGGACTCCAGGTGGGTGGGAAGAAGTAAAGCAGCCGCCCTGCCTGCCAGCTGGCTCTACTCCGCTGGCTCTGGAGCTGGGCTCTCTCAGGGCCATGCAGGCTGACACTGTGAGTCCCACTCCAGACTAGAGCCACAGCCCTGGACACACTTATCTACCAAATCTCTGTCACACCCTCAGTGGCTCAGGGACCCAGAAGAGGAGACTGTCCAGGCATGGTCACTTTCATGCACAAGACGACCAAGGTCACATAGTAAAATGACTCACCCATACCAGGAGGGCACACGGTACTAGGCAGGGCTGGAGCCCGTCTCTTCCTTTCTAGAAACCTTTCTGCTTTTGCATCCCGGAGAGAGGAACTTACCAGCCAGGTTGAGAAGGTCTCTGCCTGCTCAGCGCGGTATCGGAGGTCAAAATGCAACCTGTAGAAGTTTGATTTCCAGGAAGGGGGGTCCTTCCAGGTGACTTTGAGCCAACTGGGGTGTCCAGCCACAGCAGTGACCCGGATGTTGGCAGGTGGGTCGGGCTTCACTGTGGAAGTGGGGGAAGCTCTCACAGCACACAGGAGGGCCAGGAAAGCACTGCAGACCCCTGTGCAGGCTCTATCTCCTCCACCCAACCCATCCCCCCAGGCCTGGACTGGATGCTTGTCCATTACAGACAGGCCTGGTGGACAATGTCCAACAGGCTTCTGGCTTACCACACGCCTCAGCCACCCCTTCCCTGCCCTCCAAGGACCAGCAAGTAAAAGCCAAGAAAGCCGCTACAGTGTGGGAAGAGCTCACTCACAGATCTTATTGGCCCGCAGCGTCACCTTGCTACTGAGACTGCTTCCCGCACTGTTGACCACGCACACAACCACTACATAGATACACGTGTCTCCCTCCGGAATGGGCAACTGGCAAAAGAACTTCTGGGACTCTGGAGAATACAGGCACGGCTTCTGGAATTCTTTCACACGGCCATTCTGGCTGTGGACACAAACCAGGGAGGGCAACCTCTCAATTCCTGCCCCGTTCCCAGAGGTAGGCGCTCAGCAGGAAATCTGGTCCCAGAGCTCATAGCCCAGCTCTGCACAACCAGCTCTTAGCAGCTTTTGTGGACTTTGAATTATCCAACCTTTTGGTCTCTGTGTTCTCATTTGAAAATAGAAATAGCCCAGTACGCTGGGGAGGCTAAGTCAGGAGAATCGCAAATTTGAGCCCAGCATGGGCAACTTGGTGATTTAACAAGACGATGTCTCAAAATAAAATAAATAAATAAAAAGCGGGTTAGGGACAGAGCTCACCGACAAGGCCCTCAGTTCAAGCCCCAGTACCACCAAAACATGAGAGAGAGAGAGAGAGAGAGAGAGAGAGAGAGAGAGAG